AAAATTAAAAGCTGAAAATTAAAGAGTGAGTTCAATTAACATAGAAATAATAAAAATACATCAAACAAATAGCAGATAAATAAATTAAAAGAGTGGGTTATATAGTTTTTACCCTAAAATAAGTCTCAAATTTGAGAGATTAATGCATTTTCCTAAACCATAAACTAAGTCTGATGCATCAATTGCATCTATTTTATTTCCACTTTTTAATATATTAAAGAAAAAATTTATTGTTAATTAGTAAGTTAGAAAAATGAAGAAAAAATATTAAATGATAAAAAATCAATTAAAATACTAATAAATGAAAAAGTTAAAAATGAAAAAAATGGGTTAAATTAATAAAGAAAACAAATCAAAAACATCAGCAGAATAAAAATAAAGAAAATTAAATAAAATAAAAAGTTAATAAATAAATTAAATTTTAGTTATTAATATTGTTTTAAATTCATTTTGTATTAAAAAATATCACAATCCGCAACTAATAAACTGCTATTACTAAAGATTAAGTGTCAATTTTTAGAGATTAGTGCACTTTTTTAAACCAGAACCTAAGTCTAATGCACTTCGATTTCTATTTCCAAGGCTTTTTAAATATTGAAGAAAAAATATATAGTTAATTTATTAATTAGATATGAATAAAAAATAAATAAATTTATTATAAAGCCAAAAGTTGAATATGAAAAAATAGATGAGTTAAACTATCAAAAAAAGAAAAAAAATTCTAGATTATAAATAAAAAAGAATAAAAAATGAATAATTTATTATCAAAATAAAAATTAGATGAGAAATTAAATTAAAATAATTTTTAAATAAAAATTATTAAATTAGATGAGAAATTCTATCTATTAGATAAATAATATTGAAAATAACTTGAAAATTAAATATAAAAAAATATTAATAATAAATAGTAACATTAATAAATTAAATATACCTCAACAGACTAATATTTAGATTTTAGTGAGATTAAAGTGAAGACTTTAAAAACTTTTTTTATTCATAAAAATAAATTTAAATCAATCATTTTAATAAAAAAATAAATATTTACTTTTTTTATATTGTTAAAATATTTTTCCTCTTATATCATTTATTTATTTTTTCAAAAGAAATAAATTGCAATTTATTAAAATTTAATTAATAAGAAGTATATTAAAAAAATAATTAACTTTTATTTCAAATTAATTTGGATAAAAAGAACAAATAAATAATAATAATTATCAAAAATAAATTTTATAAATGTGCTTTTATTAACTAACATATATCACAAAAAAGTTAAAACGGCATTCGTCTATTAAATATTTAGATTGTTAAATTTTAATAAAATGATTTTTATTAAGTAAATTTAGGTTTTATTCAAGAAATTAAGGGAATATTTATTTAATATATATCTAAGATATTATAATATATATATTAAATATCTAATTATTCTCAAATTCGATTAATTTTTTTACAAACTAATTTTATTTAGATATTCATTAGTAATTTCAAACGCAGGAATAGCTATAAATGGGTGTTAAGTAATAAGAGACTACAGTATATAATAATAAATAATTAAATATTATGATTTAGCTTTATTATAATCAATTAAAAAATATTATTTCTTAAACATAAAATTTTATATATTTATTTATATGAAAAATCTTTAATCTAAATTTTATTTTGTTTTATTATTAAACCTTAATAAAAGCTTAATTTTTTGCATTCTTTATTATTAAACAAGATAATACTACAAACTTTCTGATATGCTTAAGATAATCTAAATATTAAAAATATCTTAACTTTTAATCAATCTTTATTAAAATTAAAAAATATAAATTTTGATTATTAATTCATTTAATTTATCTGTGCGATACAAATGTTTCTCATTTATTTTATTTAATAAGACACTAGAAATTAATAAAAGCTTTGAAACTTTTGGTAAAAACTGAGGACTGATTTGATTTTAGATTGAATTAATTACTTTGCTTAAGTAAATTTATTTTATAAATCTTCTTTTTTTAATAAACTACTTATTTATTTACTCATCATATTGTTTGTGATATTTAAAAATATAAAAATAATAATAAATCTATTTATTTTAGGTTAAATTACCAGTTTACAAAATATAATAAAATAAAATATATTATATGTATTATACATATTATTCAAATATTTTTATATTATTTATTCATCCTTTTTTCACTGTTTGTTTATCAATCAAAATTATATATCTAATTAAAAGACAACTAATTTTTTTGATTTAAGACACTCTATAAAAAATTTTTTATATTTATAGATCTTGTTACCACTTTTATTATAAATTGTGTTCAAAAAAAAAATAAATTAAAATAACATTTTTTAATAAAATGTTAAATTTTCAATCAATAAATAAAAAAAATTAGTAGAATAAACAGTAAAAAGTAAAATAAATCAAATAAAAACCCAATTAATTAAAAGAGTTATTTTTATATTAAAAATTTTTGATCTAAAACAATAAACGGTTTTTACTAAATATGAAGTGTCAAATTTGAGAGATTAACGCTGTTTCTTAAACCTAAACTTAATTTTAATCCACCTTCTTCACAAATTAAATTAGATCTTTTTAAATATTCAAGAAAAAGTATTTTGTTATATATAGTTAGTTAGTTAGAAAGATTATAAAAAGAAAAAATATGAAATTTAAAGAAATTAATGAATTATAAAAGAAAAAGTTTAAAATGAAAAAATGAGTTAAATAAACAAAGAAAGAGAAAAAAAACACAGACAGAAATAAAAAAAAGAAAAAGAAATTGAATAAAAAGCTTTATAAATAAATAAATTAAAAGAGTTATTTTGTTTTAAAAATAAAATATATCTCAATCTAAAAAAAATAACTGACTTTACCTAAGATTAAGTTCCAAATTTGAGAGTTTAGCACAATTTCCTAAACTAGATCCTAAGCTTGATGCACCTTCACCATGAATTTAATTATAACTTTTTAAATATTTAAGAAAAAATATTAAATTAATTAGTTAAAAGGAAAAAATGAAGAAAAAATATAAAATCAATGTATAACGAACGATAAGAACAAGTTGAAAATTAAAAATGAGTTTTATTAACAGAGAAAGAAAAAAAAATAGCAGAACTAAAAAAATAAAATATTAAGCTAATAAATAAATAAATTAAAAGAGTTATTTCTATTGTTTGAAATTCATTTTTTTACTAAAAAAATATCTCAATCCATAAAAATTAATTGTTTTTACTAAAGATTAAGTGTCATATTTGAGAGATTAGTGAGTTTCATTAAATCAAAACCTAAATTTGATGCACCTTTATCACCAATTTTATTCTAACTTTTTATATATTAAAAGAAAAATACATATTTAATTAGAAGCAAAAAATGTAGAAAAAATATGTAATATTCAGAAATAAACTAATTAATTAAATATAAAAATAAATGTTGAAAATGAAAAAATGAGTTAAATAAACAAAAAAGAAGAAAAAAAGCACAAGATGAATACAAAAAGAAAAATGAATCATATAAAGATAATAAATAAATTATAAGAGTAATATTGTTTGTTTTAAATTCATTTATATAGATTTCAAAATCCAAATACATTGTTTTTACCCAATATCGAGTATCAAATTTGAGATATTAGTGCAGTTTTTAAGGCCAGCAACGAATCTTAATGCACCTTCATCACCAATTTAATTCCACCTTTTTAAATATTGAATAAAGAGTTAATTAGTTAGTTAGTTAGTTAGAAGGAAAAAATAAAGAAAAATATGAAATAAAAATATATTAGTTAATAAATAATAAAAGTAAAGATGATTATAATAAATGACTTAAATTAAAGAAATACAGAATAAAAATAGAAGAAAAATAAATCAAATAAAAAGCTAATAAATAAATAAATTAAAAGGAGTTAATTATTTTGTTTGAAATTCATTTTTATATTAAAAAGTATCTCAATCGTAACCAAATTAATTCTTTTTACGTAAGATCAAGTATCAAATTAGAGAGATTAGTGTAATTTCCTAAACTAGAACCTAAGCCCGATGCAGCTTCATCGCCAATTTAATTTTAACTTTTTAAATATTGAATAAAAACATTTTATTTAATTAATTAGTAAGAAGGAAAAAAGGAAGAAAAAATATGAAATAATTAGAACTTAATTAATAATATATAAAAATTATAAATGATTTAAATAAACAAAGAAAGAAAAAAAATAATCAGGTAAACATTAAAATAATAAAATATAAAGCTAATAAATAAATTAAAAAAGTTATTTTGTTTTAAATTTATTTTTATGTAAAAAATAGCACAATCCAAAACAAACAAATAAACTGATTTTACCTAAGGTTAAGTTTCAAATTTGAAAGATTAGTACACTTTACTAAAGCAGAACCTAATCCTGAAACACCAATTTCACCAATTTTATTGGAACTTTTTAAATATTGTAAAAATAATATTTAGTATTAGTTAATGAGAAAAAAAAAGAAAAAAAATATGAAACAATTAATTAATAATAAAAGCAAAAGTCTAAAATAAAAAATCAGTTAAATTAATAAACAAAGAAAGAAAGAAAAAAACACAATCAAGATAAAACAAATAAATTAAATCAAATAAGAAGCTTTTAAATTAGTTAAAAGAATTATATCACAATGCAAAATCAAATAAAAATTTTTTACCTGAGATCAATTGCCAAGTTTGAGAGATTAGAGCACTATCCTAAACCAGAGCCTAAGCTTGATGCACTTTCATCATCAATTTGACTGTCACTTTTTTAGTAATGAAGAAAAAAACATATTGTTAAATACTTACTTAGAAGAATTTAATGAAGAAAAAATATCAAATAATAAGAAATAAATAAATAAATAAATTAATTATTAAAACAAAAGTTTAAAATAAAAAAAATACTTAAATTTAGAAAAAAGAAAATAATCAGAATAAAAAAATAAAAATAAATTAAGCCAGTTATTTTGTTTTTAATTCATTCTAAAAAAAAATATTTTAATCCAAATTAAATAAACTATTTTTACCGAAGATCAAGTGTTAAATTTGAGAGATTAGTACACTTTCCTAAACCAGAACCTAAACTCAATAAACCAATTGCTCCAATTTCATTGAAACTTTTTAAATATAGAAGAAAAAATATAAAGTTAATTTGTTTGTTAGAAGGAAAAAATGAAGAAAAAATATGAAATAATTAGAAATGAATAAATTAATAATAAAAAAAAGTTGAAAATGAAAAAAAGAGTTAAAATAACATAGAAAGAAAAAAAAATTAAATAGTCATTTAA